AGAGGATGCTGGAGAAGAATCGGGAGTAAGAGACTGTATACTATTATGTACGCTTGTTTAATTCTGTGTATATACAACATACATGGGCCTGTGACATGTTTGTGTGTGTTTTTGTCTGTGTCTGCATGTGTGTTTTTAGGGAACTGACCACAGCGGGAGGCCTCCAGCAGCAGGGGCTACCAGTGATTCTCACAGCCTGTAGAGTGACTCCTTGACAGGGATCGTGAGAACCTGAGTGGCAGGGGTCCTTGTGGTCAAGAGGAACTTGACTAAATGTAAAGAAATGAGAAAAGGCAGTGTACACAGAGCATCTGGCAATTCTGCTCAGGGAAACAAGGACGCTCTTTGATTTTCTCCTATTATACTCCTTGCCACTGAAACATCCTCTTTTTTTAAAAGAAATAATAATTATGAAAAATTATTACTCATTGTTTTTAAACATGCAGAAGTGGTCGACATGACCTGACCAAAGCTCAAAAGATGAAAGAAAATTGATTCAAGTGACTCTGAACCCGGCATGGTTGTTGGTACCAGGTGGGGTATTTCAGGGACTGCTGATTTACTGGGATTTTCCCCATTCATTACAACTGAGGTATGGAGAAGAGCATCTCTGAATTGCCATGGAACATTGAAGCAGATGGGCTAAGGAAGCAGAAGAGCACACGTTGTGCCATGTCGAAACTGAGGCCAAATTTTGACCATAAAAGATTGGAAAACCAATCTTGTCTGAAAGTGTCAATTCAAGCTAAAATTTTCAATGGTAGGCTCATAATTTGGCATAAACAACATGAAATCAGGGATCCATTCTTCATTGTATCAGTGTTTCACGCTGCTGGTGGGGTAATGATATCAGGGATGATTTTTTTCGGCACGCTTTGGGTACTAATTGTACATCATTTAAGCACCACAGCCTACCTAAGCTCTGTTGCTGACTGTATCCATCCCTTTATGACCACAGTGTAACGACAAACAACAAAATCTCTGAGGAATGTTGTTGAATCTGTGTCATGAAACATTAAGGTAATTCTGAAGATGAAAAAGGGACCAACCCCGTACTACCAAGGTGTACCTAATGAATTGGTTAGTGAGTGTATATCTTAATTCAAATGGTTTGCTCAAGCCCTGAATTTGATTTTTTAATTGATTGTCATTATCGTTATTATTATTGTGAAATAAAGAATGTGAAAAATGCGATAGTGTAAATTGACTGTTTGTAAATTAAAATGCTTTACAGTGCTCCAACATTTAATATGTCTATGATGAAAGTAATTTGTAATTTGTAAATTTAAATGTTTTTTTGTTTGTTGTTTTACTTTTGATTTTTTTTTTCCATTTTAGAAGTTTCTTTTTTGTTGTTGTTTTTTAAATAACAATAAGTTTATAATCAGTCAGAGGCTCATAATCACAGCTGCAAAGTCTTTGGTGGAGGTAACTACATTCTTCTGTGATTTTTCCAAACAACTTTGTTCTGTATGACTGCTTCAAGTCCCTCATCGCTCTTTGACACTGAGCTGGAAGCAGCAGGACATCTGATTTTCTTTCTGTTCCCACACCTGTCTTCTTGCTCTTTGCTGCTGTTCTTCTTTCTCTTAGTCATCAAAAGACACCACGTCCTCTCTGTTTTTTTTCCCCCTATGTCCTTCATCTCAAACTCTTGTGTCAGTTTGTGCCTGTGTTATTATTTATGGGCTGGTGAATGGAGAGAGATTGAATGAGACCCAGAGCTTGGCCTTTACCCTCACACTGTCTGCTACTCCTAAATCACCACAGAGTCTGGCTTACTTTCACATTAATGGTTTGTCCATGGTGTTTGTGTGAGTGAGAGAAAGAGCCAGGCACAGAAAGAACAAAAGAGCCGCCTTTTGTCCTTAAACTACTTGCTTGTTTGTCCAAAAGCCTCATGTAGCCTTTGTTTTCTGTTTTCTTGTTGTAAAAACAAGTATTTTATTTAAAAAAAATTCAGGTTCTTCAGTTATGAACAACCACTTAGTGACAGTGAAAAGGAAAAACTCTCTTTTAACAGGAAGAACCCTCTGGCAGAACCAGGCTGAGGGAGGGCCAGGAGGCTGCCAGGTCAAAAGACACACTGTGGAAGAGATCCAACGATTATTAATAACTAATGATTGAATGCATTTAATGACTGGTGTTTTAAGTTTATTTAGTTTAAAGCCTAATATCAAAAGTATAGAAACTATCCAATCAAAACTGGGAGCTGGTTCCACAGAAGAGAGGTTTGAAAGCTGAAGGTTCTGCCTCCCAAAATTGCAAACTAGCAGTCTGAGAGCCAAATGCTCTGCTGGGGTGATATTGCTCTATGAGGTCTTTAAGATAAGATGGGGCCTGATTATTCAAGACATTGTTTGTGAGTATTCACTCTACTGTCAGCTTGTCTCCAATTTTTTTTCAAATGAGTGTGTCAATATTTGAGGGCTGTACAGGTAAAAAATGAGCTCTTTTCGTATTGTCATTGGATTCATTATACTACTAGCTTGGCTTAACTCTGTCACTGTAGAGGAGCATGTTCATGTAGCACAGAGCTGTTTTAACATATGCAATTAAAACTTTTCAATATAGTCATCTGTTCAATGGTTTACTTCCCATAAAAAAACCATAATATTCTGCACATCAGTGCAACTTAAACCACTGTACCTGCTTTAAAGATACATGCACTGATGGATGTTTTTGGTGTGTGTGTGTGTGTGTGTGTGTGTGTGTGTGTGTGTGTGTGTGTCTACGGCCAAAACAGGACCAGCTCAAGTTTATGGCCCTGCAGTGCAGTCTTTCTTCTCAGGGTGACAGAGCAGACAGCCGATCTGCAGGGGGAATAGGATTCTAGTCCGAAGGACACCTGGTCTGCAAGGGGCTCAGTTGGACAGTATTTTATGTGTTTTGTACTTTCAAAGTCATTGAAGCAATTGTAAAAATATATTTTCAGAGTGTCCAATTTTGCCTTGTCATTGTGATTTAAATGGACATGAAGTTTAAATTGGGTTTGCACGTTAGCCTGGAGCAAAATCATCCTAATCCCTCTGTTTCCCTTTATCTGTGAAGCAAGTCACCTTTTTATGCTTTGAAAAAACAGCAATTGTGTCATTCATTGGTATTTGGTATGTCTATTTTTATCTGTGTATGCTTAACTTCTTCTCAGCTTCAGTAAATTCAAAACACACTTTCTATTACCCCGCACCAAACTACTGAGAAAGGCTTTGGTTTCTTAGGAACATAAATGATATCCAATTCTCCTCAAAGCTACAGAGAGAGAGAAGGAGAAAGACTGCACACAATAAATCATTCTGAGCTCCATCAACTCAATCCTTTTTGATAGCATCAAAGGAAGGAAGAAGATGAGCAATTTCCTGTGTTGTGAGTGTACAAATTGAAAAGTCTGTATAGTCTCTGTGAGGGTTTGTGTTTATACCTGAAACAGGAACACAATATATGGCCTAGTAATGCACACACCGCAGACACATGCTCAAACAATCTGTCTAGTGGGCAGAGACAGGAAGTAGTCTGAAAAGGAGGAAGAAAAAAAATGGTTGCAACATTTAACATTTAAAGTGACAAAAAGCACAGCAGTGCTAAACCAACAAACGTATGGTACACTCACACTAGCACACCCATGTGTGTGTGACCTTCAAATTTAAAGTTTGTTTGACTAGTGGGATTACTGGTCCTGGTCTTACAGGACTCACAGGTGGCCCCCTGTGTGGATCAGTTGGAGCCAGACATCACTAACACATGTAGTGCAATCAACTCCAACAGCTCCCACAGCCTGGTACTTCAAAATCTCAACGAGAGTTTAAGGTACTGGGAGTCAAAATTGGTGGGTAATTGTGCTAAGTAATGAATAAATCTGTGAGGAACAGTGTGTGCCCACTTCATTGTGTCACCAAAGGCATAAAATACTGAAGGGAGAGAGAGTATGACAAACAAATTGTCGCTATTTAAATTTTTAGCTGTTTTCTTGGTTAAGGCTGCAGTCAGCGGGAGCTAGAACAGGGCCTTGACAGAAAGTTAATGGATCTGAGAGCTGGAGATAAATGAAAACACAAACCTATCACATTACCCTCGTGGAACAGAGACAAACCATTGTATGACCATTAGTTCTAAGCATGTTACTCGCCGGTTTCCCCCCCTTTTTATCAATATGAAAATTTCTTTTAAAATTGCCAACAATGACTGTAATTCTTTCATGCATGCTTTTCATATTCTTTAAGCATCTTTAAATTTTAAGAAAATCCATGATGTCAAACCATCATTCCCCAAATAGCATTAACGCTCCTGCTGTAGGCACAATACAGCACTCAGTTGTGCAGACTGTGTGAAAGAAATACTTCTTTATTCTAAGCATGAAACTGCACATAAGTGATATTTAAAAGTGTCAGACAATCAAATGCACGTCTCTCCTTTTAGGTTTGGAACCTACCAAAGATTTCAGTACTCACTGTTGATTTCTACTGGAGCCAAAAAAGATTCAGTTCTTAATACACAGTACCCATGAGCGCTTGCCTAAAACTCTGACCTTGATGGGTCAGAGGTTTTGGTGCTTCGTTATGTTCATCAACATGTTCTGGAAGTTGTTTTGTGTGTATGAGCGAACTCACTGGCTGACAGGATAAATGGCAGACTTGCCTTTCACTTCAGCATCGTTGCTCTTCTTGACACAATGATGAGGAAGAGGTTCCTGGCATTCCTCCCGAGCTTCCTGATGCGTTCAAGTCAGCATTCCTAAATCCTTCTGTGTGAGCTAAACCTTTCTTTAGATGTCTGTTAAATGCTAAAAGTTGTATTTTAAAATTGTCTCGTTTTAGACGAATGTCACTGTTCTCAAATATATGGCCAGATAATGTTAGGTAAATGTAATTAAAAGTAGTTTAACAATTATATATTTTACCTTAAAAATTCAAAATTTCCATTCATTTGGAAAACAAACACCACATAGTACTTTTCTTTGATGCTGGATTTTTGGTTAAAAATGAAAAACTTCAATTGGACTTAAACAGACATAAAATGATTTTTATTTAATGTAAATATTTTAATTGTGTTTTGAAGAAATTTACATCAAACTTTTAAATGAGTGGGGTTGATAAATATGCAGCACATTAATAAAAACTGTTGTTGTTGTTGTTGTTTAAAGTGGTTAGGAGTGTTGTGGCTTAAATTTTATCGAATCAAAGTCTGCCATCTTGTGGAAGTATGAGAAACTACAACTGTATTCCCAGTACTGGCCAGTTTGTTTAAACTCGTGGTACTTTTCCTATATCGCATTGCATCAAGATGATACATGCAACATAGTTTAGATAACATCAGTTTAACTTGACATAGAAACAAGTATGTTACATGAACTAGGAAAAACACCACAGCATTTATATCCTAAATCCTATATATCCTATATTTATATGTATATCCTTTGGTGTTATCCATACCATAACACCAAATATAAAAGACAAACACAGAGAGTAAAAAGTACAGAAATACAAAAGAGCTAAAGTTAAATACAAGAGGATATAAAAGTAACTTAAACATCTCACACTTGAGCTGAGGACAAAGGAGGCCTGGCTGACTTCAATAAAAAGTGATTACAGTATCATTTTATCATTTGAAAATCCAATATCACCACAAAGATCTAACATGTAAATATATAAATATACTCTTAATATTAACCCCTGACAAAAAGCCTCTCACAACCTCTGTGCTTCAGTTAAATATATATTGACCTTTTTCAAAGGAAAGGAAATTATATTAACTTGGCCTAATGATCAGATTTGGCAAGATGTAACAAAGGTGTCTCCATTTTGCCACATAATAAATATGCAATATTTTATTTTTGTTTTAACCATTGGCCAGATTCAGGTTCCCACTCCATTGATCCAAAATCCTATAACTATAAACAATACCTTTTTTGGAAAACCTTCAGCACTGAACTCCCCGTTTGATCCTCTCCCAGTAGTCATTCATTTGCAAGATGCTTGTTGTTGTCGAAGCGATCACCTTTGAAAGACTGCAGCTGCTCAGAGAATGGCTGGGATTGACAAGAAACATTGTTTCTTCTGGAGGGTCAGTAGGAGATACGCCCAGGCGTTTCAGACACATGCCGAGGTAAGCATCTTCAATGTAGATCGGTTTGATCTCAGGTGACACTCCCAAGATCTTCCCAGGAAGGTCTAGTGACATGACGTAGGCAAAGCCGAGCGGATATGGGGGGTACTCTGATTCAGCAATCACAGATCGAGGCATGTAGAACTTCATAAATGGGTTCCTTAAAACAGGACTATGCCACCAAACCAGCCCAGTCATATAGTTTTGCTTAGCTGTGCTAGGATCCACCAACAGTTTCACCAGATTCGGGACATTGAGTATAACATCGGAGTCGATCTTCATGACAAAGGAAGCCTTTGTACAGTGTGCAGCCAGCCACTCCAGCATGACCATAGTCTTGATAGTCAGATTATAGTAGCTGTCCTGAAAGTTGCTCTGAATCAGGTCATGGTACAGCTGATTCTCCTGCTGAAGCTTCTCTTGCTGATGTTTAGCATCACTTCCACCAGGGAGGCCCACTATGAAGACAGTCTCTACCTGCTGACCCAGAACCAGCTTCTCATTTCCCCACGTCTGCCGGATGGCATCCCGAGTTGCCACATTACCGGGTGCAACAGGAACCATCAGAATAAGGAAAGGAGTTGTGGTCCTACATGTAGGCATGTCATCCATGATGAATTTGTAGTTTCGTGGGTAGGCCACATGATATGGTCCTGGATCCTCCCAATGTGGCTCTGCTGATGCTGGTTGATAAGGAATGTTCCTAACCACTTTGTTGGAATTGAGATAGAAAAAGATGAAAATCACTGCTGCTGCAATGCAAATGAAGATGCCTTTTAGGTGCCTCATCTTGTTGTCCATGAAAACTACAGAGAAAGGAAACATATTTTATCACGAGAACTTGTACAGCACGTATTCTGCAGGCTTCATTGAGTGGTGGCCTCCAGCTCACTCTAGAGGGCAGTAGTGGTTTTTGATACGCGCGACACGGGCGGTTGCCCGGGGCGGCATCATGGTGGGGGCAAAAACAAATAAATAAAAAATTCTATCGCCCATTTGCTGGGAGTAAGGGCGCCCTGCTGCTTGCTGCACAGGGAGGAGAGGGCGGGGCGGCGGGGGATTCACTGGATTCACTCCGGGTCAGGAACGAGTCACTGCCCGGGAGCGGAGGAGTTTAAGTATCTCTGTGTCTTGTTCACAAGTGAAGGAAGTGGGAGATTGACAAACAGATTTGGTGCCACAGCTGCAGTGATGGGGAAGCTGCACCCGTTTGGCATGAGCGGAGCGTGCATAGAAGCGAAGCTGTCGATGACAACAAGCTCATCATCACTTCATGTCGACTTCATTTATTTCACAGTTCGCTTTTTAAGGACAATTTTTTCACAAAAGTGCAACACTTTCACCACAACTTTATGTCACAGGACAAGGTCACATTTGAAAAAAAAAGAGATCTTGCAAAGTGCTCAATACATAATGGCATTTTTTAACAAACCACTGAAAAAAGAGAAGAAGAAAAAACTTTCCAATCTTGCCAGTCATTTGTGAAGCCAAATTATCTTAATAGTCAATATAGGAACAACATCTAGAGTATATTGTTAAAGATTGAGAATTTTAAGTTCCGTGAAATGTTTTGCATACTGAACCTGGCAACTTCCCTTGTTTTATGCTCAAACAGGTGTACAATGAAAGCAGTCTACGGGAATTCTTGGACTTTAATGCACTTAAAAATACTTAGAAACTGTGCAATCGCATAGGCACACCTGTTCTGCTTGTTTTTCTGTATACGGAAGAGACATCGGAGAGATCAGATAGACATCCCCGATAGAACCTGTTTCCCCTGCACCTGGAGCAAGGATCCAGTTTACTCCGCCTCCATTAAAACTAACTCGACGCGTAAGTCGTGATGTTTTAGTTTAGTGAAAAGGTGGAAAATTACATTACCGTTTAGTTTGTGATTACAATAGAAAGTGATATATTTATTGTTTTTCACCTGTTAGAGATTATTTTACTATCACGAGGACATTTTGCCACATAATTATTTGTATCCCCCTCTAACTT